ATAGATTATTCAAAACCCTGGCCAGAAACATAAATCAATTTTGATATTAGTCAAACTCTCAAATATCAACCTCCAAACCCCAATTTCCCATTTTATTAAATTCTAAAAAAATTGAAGTTAAATATCACAAGCAATATAGGGAATACAATACAATAAAGATAGTTTCAAATTATTTCAACAAGTTGAATGATTCCACTTCAGAAAATATAAACGATGTTCACAATGAAGATTTTGATGAAACAGATGCAGTACTGAAATCGAAAAGGAAAGAATCTAACTACAAGCAAGAATGACCTCCAGAGTTAGGCAAGAAAGCGAAATTTCTAGGGCATGGGTCTCGCAGGTTCGCCGTCAAGGTTTCGAATAGAATGGCGGCACAGGTTGTGGAAGATGGAAAAATTGTTCCTGGGAGTAGTATTCGTAGATGAATAAATTAACTAGAAGGGTTTTTACATAAGACACGATTGGGGTCGTTGTCGCCCCGAATCGTTGGCGAAGGTACGCCCCTTAAAGGTCTCATCGATGGAGTGGGACTTGAGGATGAGGTCGCACTCAGAGCAGACGATGTCGCCAGTGGAGTGGTCGGGGACGAGGCCAAACTCGGAGCAGACGACGCGAAAAGAAGGCACATGGGAGATCGGAGAGGAAACAGTATGGCGTGAGAAGAAGAAGAATAGTGCACTAGGGTAAAGTGAAAATATAAGGGATACTGACTTGGTTATCTGCTTAACCGATGACTAAAGTGTTAAAAAAAATTCAAAATGGGATTTTGCAGGCTTTTATGTTTCAATTTTGAAGCAATCGAGGTAATAGACGCTTTTCTGCCTCGATTCTCCTTGAACCGAGACCTATAAGTGCATTGAAATTACGAAAATGCCACCGCATTTTATGCTTCGATTTTCTAGAAACCGAAACATATTACCTGCGTTCGAATCCTCATTTTGCACTAGTGATACATTCAAACATTCATTCAAGATCAAATGGACTTTGTTATTGTTGATAAATTTGCACTTGAAGAGTGTGTTCTGATTAATGTATCATTGTTTCTACATTGTGTAGCACTTGTGCGAGTAGGTCAGGTTAGAGATTTAAGGTGTTAATCTCTTGTATTGGGTGAGAGTGATTGTTTTCCTCTCTTAATTGTGTTGAGAGTGGTGAGGATAGCAATCGAGAGTTTCATTGTATTCTCAACTCAAATTTGATTTTGTAGAAAGCCTCTCAACTGAAGTTGTTGGGAGAAGACTGTATGTAGGCTTTTGATAAGTTAGATCAATATAAATCTTGGTGTTCTTTGATCTTGCTTTTATATTTTCTTTACTTAGTTGATTCATCAAATTTTTGGATATTGATTTCAAGTTTTAAGAACTATTTGGGTATTGTATGTAATGCTAAATAAATTATTTACAAAATTATTCGTAGGTAAGCTACATACAAAATAATTTGTAAATAATGTTGAATGAATATATATGTGTAAATTACATACGGGTTAATCCATAGGTATGTTAGATGAATTACATACAAATGATTTCTTATGTAAATGTATATAACAACTAAAATCAAGTCCAATAGTTAATGACAATGGAGGAAAACAAACACAAACACGAAGGAATGCAAACTTAGTGAGAGTGTGAGAAAGAACGTGAGCACGAGAACTAAGTGCAAGAAAGAACTCAGAGGGGACATTGGAAGAATATGAAAATTTAACATATTATACGAGATGTAGTGAATAATCTATTAGTATGTAAGTTTTGAAATTAAAATAATTGAATATTCAAATTTATGTACTCGTTTTACATCTAACCGATACAGTAAAACTTTTTAATATATTATAAATTTGTTATCATTCCACTTTTTATATCAATTATTAGTCTAACAGATATGAAAAATCTTATTATTTATAAAATTGTTACTACATCACTTTTATATTTGGAGAATTAGAAACGACATTCGCTGTAAAAAAATCTATTTCCAATAGTAAGATTTGATGCATACATCTTCCGTGTACTATCCACTAAATCAAGGATTTGTATTAATAATCACCAAATAGTCTTCCATAATGGCTGCTGGATATAACTTCAAAATGTTACATTATAATATCCTTTACCTATCAACAGAAAGTGTACAGAATAAGACAAAACTTATGAACAAAAAATGACGATTCACCACAATGCACGTACAACCTTAAACGCACGCACCCAGCCAGCAAGGAATCAAAGATTATTATGTTCTTCAACTTCATTGGTCTGACTATCAACCTCATTCTCTTCCAAGGACCTTCCCATGGTTTCCCTAGTGAAAAAGTACGTGATCACCATTCCAATAAGCACACTCCTCCAAGTATGATAAGGGTAACCTGCATCCCAATTCCCTTACTGTATCCATACTCCCTCTTGTTATGAGAAGCCCAGAGAAAGCCCACAGACCCAATGATCGCCCCAACCTTCCCGGCTGCCCCAGAAATGCCATGACAAGTTGACCTAAACCTGGCTGGAAAAGCTCAGCCGGGACTATGAAAGTGGTAGTGTTAGGGCCAAAGTTGGCAAAGAAAAAAGCAAGGCCATACAAAACCATGAACCATTTGTTCTCCTCATGGTCCGGAGTAGTCCAAAAAGTGTAATAGGGAATTCCAATGATGAAAAAGATGACTGCCATGAAGAAAAAACCCATCATTTGGATTTTGACCCTTCCCCATCTGTCAATGAAGTAGACAGAGAAGAAGTAACCGGGGATGGTGGAACAGACTGTGATAACGGCTTGGATCCAAGAGACGTGAATAGCCTCCTTATAGATGTCTACTTTTCCCTTTTCGTCGAGGTAGCGTTTGTATATTTCACTTTGGAACAAAACTTGGCTGTAGAAGACAATGTCGACGAGGAACCATGTTGAAGAACATGCAAAGAGGTCACGACCATGGCGGCGGAAGAACTCCCTTGAAAAGAGAGGGTAGGGATGTGGGATTGGTGGCAAAGGGTATTCCTCTGCGATCATGCTCAGTCTTACATCAAGAACTTTCTCCATGTCCTTTGCCGCTTGCATCACATTGTCCACTAACGCTGTGTACCTGATTGCATTTTACTTTAAAACATTATTACATACTAACTTCATATCTTCTCACATGATCTTTTTAAGTTACCCTGTCGCATTCCGTTTACTTTTTCTCTCAAAGACAACCCTTTCTCTGATAATGGGTAAAGCTAAAAAGGGTCCAAAGTTTGTTGTTAGGAAGAAGATTGTCACTTCCAAAATAATAAAAAAGGTTAGTTTTTTTCTTTCTCTTCCTTGGGTGTTGGTTCCTTCATCAGACTTAGTTTTATTGCTTGAAATCATGTCAATTTCAGTTACAAAGAAGAGGTCTTAGAAGCTAGAAAAAAAGAATATTGTGAAGGAAAAGTTACCCAAAAACCTGTAAGCTACTATTCTCACTCTTTGCCCCTTCCCTAGAAAGCAAGGTTGTAAAGACACCAAAAAGGGAATTGGATGCAGAAGGAACTCCGAATTCAAAGATGAAGGGTTCTAAAAACATAAGCAATGAGGATATGATATTCAGAGCTGATAAGATTCATCTCAAGAGTATGGATGCCCAGTTGGAAAAGCACTTGAGCAGGGTTTGGTCAAGGAGCACTACTTAGGCAAATGGTTTTGGGGAGATGGAAGATGCCAACCATCATATGGCTCTTAACATGTTGTCCAACTGCAATTGCCGACATGAGTGATAGCTCCCCGCCAGGACTGAACCGGCTACAATGGTGGCCAGTAGCGAAGAACTTGCACTGGGAGATTTTGTACTAGCACCCTTCACCACCAAATGCCTCTATTAATACAGACTAATATCCGCTACACAAGATTGTATTATTTCGTAAAATATATAAAAAAAAACCCTTCTACTGCCTTGGTTCAACTCCAAACCGAGGCATAAGATCTCCCTTTACTGCCTCGGTTGCATTTGAACCGAGGCAAAAGCATATACCTTTTTGCCTCAGTTTAGAACGTCACCTGTATATGCCTCGGTTCAAGAACCGCTACCTATGGGTGAAAATAATCACCTTCGTTTCCCCTAATTGCACTAGTGTCAACTTAGTCTTATAAGGGAGGTGCTGATGGTTATTATTTTTTTTCTTTTTCTTTTTGTCCTTTTTTTTTTTGAATTTGTACAAGGGTTGGGGAAACCTTATTGTTCCATTTTAATTCATATTTGTTATTGTTAATAAATAAAAAATCATATTTTTTTTTCTGAAACATGTATCTAATGAACCCAAGGTAATCATAATTGATTAATTGTTTGTATACTAATGAAAATTATTATAATACACCGTTTCAATTAAACTAATAATAATTAAAATTTGATAGTAATAAAAAGGATTTATAAAATTAACATTAAATTATTATGTTATAATAAATAATTTTTATTATATAATGATAGAATTATACTTATGATAATATGTTAAAAATAATAAATATATAAAAATGTCAAAAATTATTTTACATGATAAAAATAAGAAAAAAATATTAAAAAATAATAATCACGTGTCATAAAAATAATTTGATATATCATTGTATAAAAAAGACAAAATGATATCTTAAAAATTTTAAAAGCTTTTTCAATATCAAATTAGTCAAACTGTTACGATAATGAAAAATTATTTTAACAAAACAAAAAGAGTTCTTCAAATGAAACAAATTAAAAATAAAAAATAAAAAAGATAAATATTTTATATTATCTATTTAATGAAAGTTTTATAATATTAAATACTTAAATTGATAGTTAAAGTTATATAAGAAAATAAACAATAAAAAAGAGTAAAAATATTTTAATATAAGATGTAAAGAATATTTAATTTACCTACGTAATTTAAACATAAGATATTCTAATGAGAAATAAAATATCTCGCAAATATAATTGATTATACATCAAACCAAACAATTAAAACAATTAAAAGAAAAGTATGTAATTCAAATAAAAAAATTATAAAATTAAAGAATAAGAATAATATATATATATATATATATATATATATATATAT